CCACAGTAACTTCTTGCAAGATACATCCACGAAGGCAAAAGAAACAAAAGCAAAAATGAACTATTGGGACTTCATCAAGATAAGAAGCTTTTGCACAGCAAAGGATACAGTCAACAAAACTAAAAGACAACCTACAGAATGGGAGAAGATATTTGCAAATGACCTATCAGATAAAGGGCTAGTTTCCAAGATCTATAAAGAACTTCTTAAACTCAACACCAAAGAAACAAACAATCCAATCATGAAATGGGCAAAAGACATGAAGAGAAATCTCACAGAGGAAGACATAGACATGGCCAACATGCACATGAGAAAATGCTCTGCATCACTTGCCATCAGGGAAATACAAATCAAAACCACAATGAGATACCACCTCACACCAGTGAGAATGGGGAAAATTAACAAGGCAGGAACCACAAATGTTGGAGAGGATGCGGAGAAAAGGGAACCCTCTTACACTGTTGGTGGGAATGTGAACTGGTGCAGCCACTCTGGAAAACTGTGTGGAGGTTCCTCAAAGAGTTAAAAATAGACCTGCCCTACGACCCAGCAATTGCACTGTTGGGATTTACCCCAAAGATTCAGATGCAATGAAACGCCGGGACACCTGCACCCCGATGTTTCTAGCAGCCATGTCCACAATAGCCAAACTGTGGAAGGAGCCTCGGTGTCCATCGAAAGATGAATGGATAAAGAAGATGTGGTTTATGTATACAATGGAATATTACTCAGCCATTAGAAACGACAAATACCCACCATTTGCTTCAACGTGGATGGAACTGGAGGGTATTATGCTGAGTGAAGTAAGTCAATCGGAGAAGGACAAACAGTGTATGTTCTCATTCATTTGGGGAATATGAATAATAGTGAAAGGGAATATAAGGGAAGGGAGAAGAAATGTGTGGGAAATATCAGAAAGGGAGACAGAACATAAAGACTCCTAACTCTGGGAAACGAACTAGGGGTGGTGGAAGGGGAGGAGGGCGGGGGTGGGGGTGAATGGGTGACGGGCACTGAGGGGGACACTTGACGGGATGAGCACTGGGTGTTATTCTGTATTTTGGTAAATTGAACACCAATAAAAAATTAATTTATTAAAAAAAGAAAACGTCACACAAAAACTTATACTTGGATTTTCATAGCGGCATAATTCATAATAGTCAAAAAATGGAAAAACCGAGATATCCATCACTTAGTCAATGGATGCCCGGAGAGGTCAAGAGGAAATGAGATCCTCCCATGCCACCTCGGAGGGAGACACCAGAGAACATGGATCATCATGTTGCACCAAAGACTTGAGGTGTAGGGGTGTGGAAGAGTTACAGAAGACAGTGGAATGGAGAGAATTGCACTGAGGTCTCAGAAAGTTGAAGCCAGAATGTTCTAGAAGAAGGCCAATAAATAGTGTTTCTAGGCAGGGAAACAACTGGAGCAAAGCCTTGGGGGGCAGGAAAGCCTGATGTACATGCAGAGAACAGGGAGCATAAGTTCTTAAGGAAGGAACACCCGGGATGGAGAGCTGGGGAGGTGGACTAGACAGTGGTCCCAAGACATCACAAAGATTCGCTATCCAGGCCTGGCATGAGAAGGGGGATGTGGTTGGCATGAGGTCCAAGCACACACCACCCTCCTGCCTTGTGGGGGAGAAGCAGCATGAGATCTGTTAAGGTAACTTGAGCCCCGTGATCCTTTCAGACCACAGCACCCTTCCCCTGACCCGGTTCCCTTGGCCAGGCCGGCAGAACCTATGCATGTGTTTTTGGCTTGAGAAACCACCTTCCCAAAAAAAAAAAAAGAGAGAGAGAAACCACCTTCCCCCAGAATAGAAATCCTGCAGGGCCCCTCTTCACCCTCCTTGCCCACCCCAATGCCTGCACGGTTTGGGGCTGCTGCTTGGCTTTGCAGGTCCTGGTAGCTGAGGTCTCATCCTTTGCTCACAGACCTCAGAAGTGAGAGCCTCTAACTCCTGGTGGCATTTAGCTTCACTCTTTAAACATCTGGGTCACAGATATGCTCAGTTAATTAATGTTCTTAGCGCTGTTCATTTGCCTGCTGGATAATAGATTGATTCATAATTTCAATAAGCAGCTGTGTATATCTTTCCCCTGAACATAAAGGCAGCTTGCTGTCATTCATCACTTTGCATTTGGTGAATTTGAGTATATTCAGAGAGACATTGTTTGGGAGGGGAGAGGAGGGCTTTTGATTTTCTTATCATTTTGCCTCTAACAATCACTCTGATTTGGAACTAATTTGGATTTAAAGCACATGTTAACCACATCTCTCTCAAGGGCACTTAATAAACTCCCTGTCACTTGTTTCAGAGGGGACCAGGTGGGCTCCCCTTTGGGGATGGAAGCAGAGGGTTTCGGAATGGTTTTCATCAACAGTCGGGACCCCTGCAGAAAACTGCCCCCTGGAGAAGAGGTACTGACTGAGCAGGGCTACCTTCTGGCTTCATTCCTGGCCAGAAATGCCCATGCTCTCAGGAGACCAGGACCCTGAGGTGGCCCCTCTACTGCTTAGTCGTTGGGCCAGGGCAGCCAACCGTTGACCCTCTAGGGTCCCAAAGGAGAGGCCAAGACCCAGCCAGGGGACCAGATGTCTTCATACCTCAGTTTCTTTAAAATGGAGAGAGTAATAGAAACTTACTTCATCAAGTTGTAAAAATTACATTCTTTATTCTTTTCTTTTTTCAAAGATTTTATTTATTTATTCATGAGAGGCACACAGAGAGAGGCAGAGACACAGGCAGAGGGAGAAGCAGGCTCCCCACAGGGACTCGATCCCAGGACCCCGGGGTCATGACCCGAGCCAAAGGCAGGCAGTCAACCACTCAGCCACCCAGGTGCCCCTACATCCTTTATTCTCCTCCCAATGTTTAGAAATGATGGAGAGTATGCCTTTAACACATGCGGGCTGGTAATTTTATTTTTTAATTTATTCAGTACCAGCTGTATATTAATAATCTTCACTCCTACCCCCGCCACCTCCTAGGATGTGAGAGCAAAAATGAGAGATGTACTTTCTTGTCTCATTGCCTTCACCAGGCTGTGCTGGAATTATCAGTGGGAACCATCCCCGTCCTTATATTCCCAGAGACCGGTTCCCACGCTGGTCACACAGAGAACTCTTCAAACATGCTTGTGGAGTTGAAATGAATGGATGGGGCTACATCTTTTAAATGATTCAGTTCACCACATTTATAATGTGTTCATCCACAAACATGTTTTTGAGCACTTGGCCTGTGATTTTTCTCCTTGCAAGGAATAAAATTAATTAGACACAGTCCCTGCCCCTAAAAGAGTGTGAAAGACAGATGAATGCACTAGCTTAAAAGTTGGAATGTGGAATTTTAAACAACACAGACAGGCAAGAGAGGGAGTCCCTGCTGCAGGAAGGGTTGGTAGGCAGCTCCATCTCTGTATCAGTTAGCTTTTGCTGCATAACAGCTACCCCTGAAACTTAGTAGCATAAAGCAATACGCATTTATTATTGCTCATGAGTCTATAGGTCAACCAGATGGTTCTGTGATCCAGACGAGGCTCAGTTAATTTCAGCTGTACTCATTCATACATCTCTTGGTAGCCAGCAAAGTCAGCTGAGAGCTGCCTAATCTAAGATGACCTCATCTACTTGTCTGGCTAGCTGTTGGTTGGGCCACTTGTCTCTCATCCTCTGGCAGGCCACCCAGAGCTTACTGCCATGGTGCCAGCAGGACTCCCAAGAGCAAGAGGGTGGAAGCATGCAAGGCTAAAGTTCGAGTCCAGGAACTGGCACATCCTTGTTTCCATTATATTCTGTTGGTCAAAGTAAGTCCCTAATATTCAAGGGTGGAGAAACAGGCTTCATTCACTTCGAAGGACATTGCTGCAGAAGTCATATTGCCTGGGGTATATAGAAGGAAAAGTGATGGATGTATGTCTTTTTTTAAAAAAAAAGATTTTATTTATTTGAGAGAGAGAGAGAGAGAAAGCGAGCACAAGTGGGAGGAGAGGCAAAGAGAGAGGGAGAGAGAGAATCTCAAGCATTCTCCATGCTGAACGTGGAGCCTGACATGGGGCTCGATCCCACGACCCTGAGATCATGACCCAAGCCAAAATGAAGAGTCAGCCTCTTAGCCAACTGAGCCACCCAGGCGGCTGTTTTTGAAATCTACCACGATCTCCCAGCATTGTTGGTGTGCACGGAGTGGAAGCAAGTGCCAGGATTGTACATTTAGGACACTTCTGCTTTTTCATCATTATAAATAATGTTGCAACAAATAACCTATACATTAACGTGTGTTCACAATTTTGACTGTTACCTTGGGATAGATTTCTAAAAGTGGATTTATTGGATCAAAAGAGAAAAACATTTTAAAAGCACCAAGTATATGTTTTGAAATCCCCTTTTTGAAAGGTTGCAGTAATTTACTCCCACCGCAGCCCATTTTATGCTAACCTTGACAAAATGGGAATACTTTTTTTTTCAATGTGGTATATCACATTGCTGTTTTAGTTTATTTATTTTAATACCTATAAGGTTGAATGCTTTTTAATATGTCTGTTTCTCCTTCAGTGAACTGCCTCTTTGGGTACCTTACACAGGGTGGAATTAATTAATCCCAATTTGCAAATGAGGTGAAAATGCAGACTCAGAGAGGCTAAGTGACTGTATTCAGGGTGACCCAGCCAGCTGGGAGCAGAGCCAAGCTTTAGAAACCAGATGTCCTGCTCTTTTACTTATCTTTGCTCCCCCGTGTTGCTGAACAGAAGGCCCAAATCCAGAAACATGACTGAGGACAAGCTTAGAAAAAAAATCAGACTGGCTCTGGGGAAGCCATATCGGGACTTAGCTTGGGGAAGCCGTGTCTGGACTTAGCAAGCCAGGGGGCTCCCTGAGCAGGGCTCCCCCGAGAATGCAGTGTGTGGTAGCCAGTGTGCAGCCGTGCTGGAGGCATGAGTGAGATCTGCGCTCCTGAGTCCCCTCCTCCAGCCTCTTCTCTGCTCTCTCCCCAGCTTGCCCGCTACACCAAGGAGGGCTTCCTGCATTTGGGAGCCCTGGGGACCACCACACTCCTCCCTGACACCCGCTGTCTGGTGGACAACTCCAAGAGTCGGCTACCCCAGCTCCTAGATTGTGACAAAGTCAAGAGCAGCCTGTACAAGCGCTGGAATTTCATACAGGTGAGCAGCCCATGGAAAGGGCCGGCACCCCAGAGCAGGTGAGGGTCCTACAAGCCACAGGGAAATCTGACCCCTGCCCCCCACCCCAAGGAACAGTACCCAACAAAGCACACTAGAGGTCTCCAGCCCTGGACCAGCCTCATGAACCCAAGGCACAACAGAGGGAATCAGCGAGTGGGAGTGGTGGGGGGACTTCCATGTGAGACAGCCTTCCAGATCCCCCCAGGAGCACCAGGCAGGCTAGGCTCTCATAGATCTCAGAAGGGGAGTATAGGGTGATTTCCCTAAAATCTGTCAAGTACCTACCGTTGGTAGGACTGCAGCAGGGACTCCCTCTCCTGCAAATCTCCCTGGAAGGTCTCCATTCTGATACCATCCCTCACCAGGGCTTGTCAGCTGCTTCAGCCATTCGGACTGGTGAAGCTGATACCTTTTCTGACTTCAGGGTTTCTGGAGGAGGCTCCGATGATCCCTCCACAGGTGCATAGAATATTGGTGGGACTGTTCCCCAGGAGAGGCCATATGCCAGGCCCTACACTAGTTAAACCTTCTCTCTGTCTCTTTCTCTCTCTGTCCACATCTCTCTCTGCCTTTCTGTCTCTCTCTGTTTCTTTCTCTTACTCTCTTTTCTCTCTGTCTCTGCCTCTTTTTATCTCTTATTCTCCTATATCTCTGTCTCCCCCCTGTCTCTGTCCATCTTTCTGTGTCTCTGTCTCTGTCTCTCTCTCTCTCTCTCTCTCTCCTCCTTTTACTCAGAATGGAGCCATCATGAATAAAGGCACAGGCCGCTGTCTGGAAGTGGAGAACCGGGGCCTGGCTGGCATCGACCTCATCCTCCGCAGCTGCACGGGACAGAGGTGGACAATTAAGAATTCCATCAAGTAGCTGGAAGGAGGGGGGGGGCCCGGAGCCTGGCCCCCAGGACCGGGACTGCCTGTCTTCTGGGCCAGCCATGCTGGTAGAGAGATGACTACAGGAAGACAGCAGGTGCTCCTCGGGCCTCCCGGGGCTTCTCCAGGGCAGCACAGGGCCCCAGCTGGAGACTCGGTGTCCACCTTTGGCATTCAGCTGCCGTGAGGCCCGTGCTCCCTGGAAAAGCCCATCCCCCTTCTCTGGAAACCCGGGAGCTGTGTCTTCTGCAGTATGAATGTGGACCACATACCATGGAGTGAAACCCCCACATCCTCCTTGTCCTCTTCCCAGCCACTCTCAGGACTGGGACTGGCAGGGGCCCCTCTTCTTTCTCATCTCTTGGAGCAGCAGCAGCTTCTGAATGCCACCCCAGCCCTCACAAGCAGGGTGGGGGGTGGTGCTCAGGTGCATCCCATCTCCCCCCTCCTTGGAGGACACCCTGAGGCCCTGAGACTCTGTTTCCCTCAAGGTTGCTTCTGCCCAGATGCCCATTTACAAGGCAGCCTCCATCCCAAACCTTTCCATCAGACATACAGCCCTGGACTTTTCTGGATCCTCCTCCCTAAGATGGCCTAGAAGGAATTAATGCTTCCATGGTCACTGGGGCCCTCGGCTCCTATGTTCCTGGGCCAGCTGCTCTGTCTGTGTCCTCGGGGAGCCAGAGGCAGGAAGAGGCTGAGCACATAGGGAGGTCATGTCTGTGAGCCCCCACCCCGGGCTGGAGACAGGCTGGCACAGTTGTGCCCACCCGGGGCTCCGGGAGCCCTGACTCACGGAGGCTGCCACAGGCGCCTCCAACTGAAGCCAGCACACCAGGGGGGCCTGGGACCCTGGAGGATGCTCTGTGTTCATCTCATTTCACCCCGTGCTCTGCTGGCTGACAGAGGAGAAGGCAGTCGATTCCTCTCTGAAGAGTAATAATTTTTTTCGATTGCCCTCTGGTTAGGGTGCACTTATAAATCAGAGTTAATATATGAACGCGTGTGCATGCCTATGCATATGTGAGCCTGTGTGGCGTGCGTGACAGCGTGTGTGCGCGTGCGTATGTGTGTCTGGGTGTGTGCGTATGAATGTGCAATAGGGCAGATGTAAAAGTGTGGCCTTGGGCTTGTCGCTTCATTGTTCACCTGGATCAGGACAAGGCTGCTGGAAGCTTGGGGGGTGGGCCTTGGGCCATGCATCTCTGGCCAGGAGCAAAGTGGCCCAGCCTTGCTCCATGGGGAGCCCCAGATGGAAGGCTGTCCCTCTTCCAGCTCCCTCTCGGTCCCTCGTGCTATCCCCAACAGCCAAGTCCCGCCCAGAACCAAATCCTGTAGTTGCCCAGTTTGGGGTTCACAGTGTCTCATTTGGTGGCATCTTATTGGTGATCACCACCCCACCCCGCGCCCCATCCTCCCTTGTGAAATAAATACATGTGAGCACTTCCCAAAGCAGCCTTGTTTGCTTCTCAGTTCCTCCAGAACCCGGGGCCTGGGGGGAGTTGTGGAACACGGCAGAGGGCTCCCTTGGTTTGAGGGTTTGGTCTTACTGTAAGCAGAAGCCCTCAGAGCAGAGGTGGAGACAAAGCCCATCTGCACTCGGACTCAACTTCCCCCCCAAAGCAGGACAGAATCTGACATTTGGCACTCACTCACTAACCCCCTGGTGGACCCCAGCTTACGAGGGTCAGGCTGGTGCAGGAAGCTGCAAAGACGAAGAGGGTCGAGGTGAGCTGGCAACGCCTCCCTGATGTGCCCGCTTCTGGTGCCACGCTGCCACTGCCACCTCTCAACACCCTGGAGCCTGGCGGAAGTACCTGCCCCTTTTTCTCACGGGAATGTGAATTCCTTAAGGATGCCAGACCTGTCACAGTCGTGGGTATGGTCAGGGGTCCCCTCAGCTATGACAGTCCCTCTTCCCTTTGAGGAGGCCAAGAAGGTCATCTTGTTTGATGTCACACAACGAGCAGACATGCGTCTCAATGGACGTTTCTGCTTTTCTTTTGGGTTCTATGAGAACCTGGGCCCATGAGCATGCTGATGGAAAATGCTGCTGTTTGGTAAGAAAGAGCTTGTCAGACGTTAATATCAGAGCCTTGGGGTAACCTTGAGGTGAAAAGGCTTAAGGTCTGCAGGTTCCCAGGGGTTCAAGGGAGACGTTGATGTAATAGCACAATACGATGCCTTGGGGAGGAGTCCTGCCCTGACTGCACATTCTGCCTCTGTGTGGGTCTTGAAGTAAAAATATAAAGAGGCCATCATCCTGTTTTACCATTTGGTGAGGTTTTGTTCCCAAGTCCTGGTGAGGTACTTAGTGGGCCCCGGGTGGGATCCTTCATTCTACAGGAAATGGATCAGATGGCCTCAAACCAGAGTAAGCAGCAAGGCCTGCTCGGTTCTCTAATGCAGCGGGAGCCCACACCCTCTAGCGCTCCAGCACGCTCACTGCATCTGGGGCTCCTTTGTACTCCAAGCTGCACCTCTAAAATACGAAGAGCAGCAAGTATCCTGGAAATACTCTTCTTCGGAGTCCCGTGCAGCAGGATAGGAAGCCCGGGTCTGCTTGTTGATGCGTGTTGGCGAGTTTGGGGCGGGGAGGAGGCTGGTGGTCTTGGTTCAGAACCATGGGAGGCTCTCTGTGTTCATACAGGCACCTGCTGTCAGCACTCACCTGGGCTACCTCCCAAACGCTCGGCCACCTAGAGAAAGCCGCCAGCACGTGAGGCCAGCATCCCAGGACAGTACCCTCTTTGTCCCACAGGGTCCCCGTGGGCCTGAAGGTGGTGGGGGTGGCGGGCCAGAGGCCAAGTCAGAGAAGAGGAATGAACAAAGTTAAAGGGAGAAGAGAGAAAAGAGAAGCAGGGCCCTGGGGAGCCTTGCATCTCACTCCTCAGAGGAATTTGGAAGCTCTTGGGGCCCCAAGTCTCTGCACGGTGGAGAGAGCACCAGGCACGGGCTCTGGGGACATCGCACGGTCCTTCAGTAAGCAGTGGGAGTTGGCACCATCTGTCACTGGGGATATCACTCCCAGCCCTTGCAGGGGGGACCCTGCAGAGAGGCTGCCCAACCTCAGCTCAGCACCCTCTGTCTGCTCAGTGCCTCCCCTGCACCCCCAATCCCCTGTCTGCCGGCAATTTCTTTTCTCTCGTTCCCTTCTCTATTTCTATGACAGAAAACATCACAGATGGTACTCCTGACACATGTCCAAGCCTCACTGCCGATGTCTGATTCTGTATGTGTTCTTTCTCACATGCATTCCTTATACTTGTTCAGGTGGCCAGAGAAGGAGAAATAGGGAAGACTGGGAAAGCACAATCTGGGCCGGAAGCCACCATCTTAACCCACTCTAGGCCCTTTGGCTTGGTCCTCTGAAGCCATTACTCTCCATATGACATAGTTTCCTCCAATTCTTGAATAGTACCCCAGTTTCCCAAAGGGCTGAAGGCTGAGTGACAGCCCGGCCACCTCCCCCATGACGCACCCCACTCTGAGGGAATGGCGTTGGGAGGGCCCTGGAACCGCAGCAGGAAACCAGGATGCACAGGTACGTGGCCTTGGGTTCCAGGTCCTGCTCATTGCCAGCATGTCCTCGTGTTTTTATTTGTTTTTTATTAAGTTTTAATTTTAATTCCAGTGTAGTTAACAAATAGGGTCATATTCATGCCAGGTGTACACTGTAGTGATTCAACACTCCCATACATCACCAGGTGCTCATCATGACAGATATGCTCCTTAATCCCCATCACCTGTTTCCCCGGTCCCCTCCCCTCCTCTCCGGTAACCATCTGTTTCTTCTCCATAGTTAAGAGTCTGTTTCGTGGTTTGCCTTTCTTTTTTCTGTCTTTGCTCATTTGTTTCTAAAATTCCACATATGACTAAAATCATACAGTATTTGTCTTCCTCTGACCAACTTCACTCAGCGTCATACTCTTGAGCTCCATCCAGGTCATTGCAACTGACAAGATTCCATCTTTTTGATGGCTTAGTAATAGTCCATCGTATATACGTACCACATTTCCTTTAGCCATTCACCTGGGGACGAACACTTAGCTGCTTCCACAGCGTGGCTATTATCAATAGTGCTGGTGCTAAAAGGCAACCAACCTCCCCTAGCTCCAAATCAGCAGTTGGGCTGGCAGGTCGTCAGCAGCCAATCAGTTGCCCTTCCTCTCGCCCAAATTATGAAATCTGAGTCTCTTGGCCACTCTGCTTTCTCACTTATCAGGTAACTTCCCTAAACCTGTGTATGGCGATCCATTCTGGGCCCCAAACTCCAGAGGCCCTTGCTGTTCCATTCAACAATCATATTTGGATACTTATCCTTTGGTTTATTTCTCTCCCACTTCTTGGGAGACAGGGAAGGAAGGAAGAAGGAGCTAACACTCATTGAGCAAGTGCATGATGAGCATTTTGGTCTTTAGCCTTTAAAGCTTCTATTTGAAAGAAGAACATAGATACAATATATATGGTTTCCCCACCCTTGGAGCCTGGGCAGCCCTCAAATGGGGCCTACTCAGCACAGAGCTATCAACATAAATGGGAATCTTGGTGTAATTACAGATTTCGGTGTTCTTGCCTCAAAGAGGCTCCAGCTGTTAGCTCTTGCAAGTGCAGCTCCCAGCCTCATTTTATCTGCTGTCTGTTGGTGTGGGCTCCCAACACTGCCTGAGCACAAAGAGCCAAGCTGAGGAGTGAAGAAAGCCAGACAGTGATCACTGGTGTTGATGGTGGCAGGACCCTGAGACTGTCAGACCTGGCCAGTTATTACCATCATCCTTAATAAACAGAGGCTTCCTAATACTAATACCTAATACAGGGTCAAAATGTCATGTCATTCACTCTTTCATTGGCTGCCCACCTACCTTAATCACCTGGTGTCTACTTCATACACTCTACAGACAGCTTGTCCCAGGGCAGGAAACTCTTTCTGCTGGCGAGCCACGCAAAGGTCAAACCTCAGTAACCTCATCCCACTACCCACTCTCTGGAGCTCAAAAAATAAGATTAACTGGCCATTAAAATCCAAAATGTGCCTTAAAGTCAATGCCCTACCTTGACATTTTAACGCTACTGGTTTTAACAGAGAGCAAGACACCCTTTGACAGCAGTTTCGTCAGTGGACAGAGTTCGCTTCTGCCACCTGGTGAGGTGGTTAACTTTCTTGGCTAGAGAAGCTGTGTCCCACTTGCCACAGGATTGGTCACATATTGTGGGAAAAATGTTTATCGACTATTTCTTAAGAAAATTAATAGACGGAATCCTTCTGAGAAAAAAAACAATTCTAACGGCCCCTCAGGGTTGACCTAATTTATCTTCTATTGTAGTGTTTCTCAAATATGTATGAACATAAAATGGCTTTTGCTCATAGACCCGTTACTGCTATAAAATAAAAATAAATTTACAAGTCGATACAAACAAATCTACAAAGTCAATAAAACTTAAGTTAACATTCATTCAACCTGGTGGTGGCCTCGCTCGCTTACACTTAAATGTCGCTGCTACTTTGAATGTGGTGTTGGCAGTAACTGCCCTAGCAGAGGTCCTTCTGTGGTAACTTGAATCTTCCACCTCTGTTCTGCATGCCAGCTGTTTTTTTTTTTAATTTTTATTTATTTATGATAGTCACAGAGAGAGAGAGAGGCAGAGACACAGGCAGACTCCATGCACCGGGAGCCCGATGTGGAATTCGATCCCGGGTCTCCAGGATCGCGCCCTGGGCCAAAGGCAGGCGCCAAACCGCTGCGCCACCCAGGGATCCCAATGCCAGCTGTTTTTGAAATATTTATTCGCCGTTCATTTATTCAACACAGAACATTCATTCTCCCCAGCTCACCTGGGATGTAGCTAAAGATAGAGCAGTGAACAAAGCATATAGAAACTCTGCTTTCCAGGGGCACTTGGGTGGCTCTGTGGTTGAGGGCCTGCCTTCAGCTCAGGTCATGATCCCAGGGTCGCAGGAGCGGGTCCCACATTGGGCTCCTCATGAGGAGCCTGCTTCTCCCTCTGCCTGTGTCTCTGCCTCTCTCTCTGTGTCTCTCATGAATAAATAAATAAAATCTATTTAAGAACAGAAGAAAAACAAAGAAACCCTGCTTTCCAGGAATCTATATTCCCCCAGCTTACCTGAAGGGCAAACACATTTATATTAAAATCTCCATTCCTCTTTTCTTTTTCACCTGAGACAATTACTATAGAACTATTTAATGCCAGTGAGGTTATGACACCAACTCAAAGCCCTGTTCCAAATTCACAGTGGGTGATCACATGATCACCCAGCTAATCCAGGATACACTTATATTAATTTTTAGGTAATTACCAAAATGAAGACACAACTTCTGAAAATTCTATGGACATCTTGCAACTGCAGGAGTCAGAAAACCTGCAGGTGCCTCTAAAGCACCAGTTCGGAAAGTACAGTTAGCTCTCTGCATTCCACAAGGTTGGAT